TCAAAGACACAGCGAGTCCTAGAGAAAGTTGCTGGAAAATCACAGCACAAATTACTGTGCTGTTAAACTGTTGTTTGCAATAGAAATGCAGCCATTTAGTTTGAGGACAGCTCAAAGTAAATGTTCAGCAGCTGTAAATGTTTGTAAAGTTAGACCTAATCTATCACTCTACATTAGGGTGGGCGAATCTGAAATTGAATAGATATATTTTACACAAAAATAACTGCTGAAACCTGGAGGGCCACTGATCTAGCGCCTTCTTCCTTATCAAAGTAACACAGGCAATTGTCAAGCCTGTAAGACTTTGTTCTGGAGAGAGCATATCAACCAACCAATGTGGAGCCCTAAATAGTAAGACATTTCCCCACCTAGTAAGCACGTCTATTATCATCATTTGATCTAACTGCACAGTTAACATTCTGAAGTTAGCAACAGCCTTAATATAAAAAATATTAAGGCTATTATATTCCTTTTCATTTTGCGACAGAAAGCTTTTAAGTAAAGAAAAAAAAATCACCAAGAGCTGGACCTTTTTGTCACCTTCCAAGTTGAAGCTATTCTGTTCTGACAGGGGATAAAATTACACACGGGGAGACTAAACCAGAAAATTTCAAGATGTTTTCAAGAGAGGAGCTGAAGCTGTCAGACGAGGCTGCCAAATGTTTCGAGCTGGCATAAGCTGATTAGTTAATTATGCACATTAACATGTCCATGTTGCAGAGAGAACGTGATAGAGAGACAGTTGCTACTTTTCAGTTTCATAACTGTTCTGTTAAAGCAACAAGTGTACTGCAAATTTTCTGACAAGCACTGCTCGGGACTGTGGAGAGTTTTTATGGTGGATTATGATAAAGAAGCCCCAGACAAACAAGTACACAAGGCTGGAATGAAGTGGGATTGTCTCTTCCCTCATATTTAATTTGGTTGCGTTTAACAAATGACTTGGCAAGAGTTTTGAATTCTCCATTTGTATCTCTGTCATAGGCGGCACTGAGGAGGTTTTACATTTTCTTGCTATTTGTATGTTGGTTATTTGTTGACACTCAGCTGCAGTATTGGTATTGACATGCCTTTGCACTTAGAAGTCACAGAACCTTCAGGAATTTAAACAGGAATGTAAAATTCTTCTACAAAGGAATTGCAACTTTTTCTTAGATTATTCCTAATATTGGGTAACTACATTGCAATGGGCTCAAGTAAATAATCATTAAATGTAACCATACAGTACATTAGTGAAACAAGTGTAAGCATGGCCTTGTGTAGACATAGATAGCACAAAATACATCACTTAGTTTGCAACTTGTTAGATTTATTTGTATCCAGCAAAGGTTACAAAACAAGTTATGAACGCAATTCCGGTCTGTGGTTCATTTCTTATCCCCCGTCTCCATGGTTTTCACACCCAATTATCTCCTTAAAATGATGAATATGTGTGGTGTGCGGCTGTGGCACCCTGATAATCACCTCTGCCTCTGATGATGCAGAGTGAGCGAGGTTTGTGTGAAAACTTTGAAAGAAGTACAGTAACTCTCTTTTTAATAATGGCGTTAATGGTTTACTCGGCAAACAGTGGTTGTTGCTAATATATACACTGTTTCTTTAATGCAGTGGTGTTGTAGCAGCTGTAACATCATATCCTTTTTACACTGATGAGTCACCATGTGCTTGACCAACTACTCCCAAAGCATGGGTCACAGCTCACTGGTAGGCTGTGAAAAAACTGCAGGTGGACCACAAGTAGTTATTTACAATAAATGGAAATCCTTTTCATTTTCCTATTGCTGTAAATTTTAAGAATAAAAATGAAAATAAGATGCAGGTGTAACGCAATCTGTACTTACGCCAAACCTTTAATGCGTGGAAATCAGGACTGTTGACCTTGGGCAGTTCACTAGGTGTCGGTGTCATCAATTTCACCCCGATGTTTAACCCAGAATCACAGTTTCTCTAGAAATAGGTTACAAGAAATCAAATGCGTCCCAAATATCTATATCCCCCGTCCGAGGCTAGTTTCGTAAAGGAGATTGGTAGTAGCTGCTCCGCCACAGGAACAATAAGGCTTCCAGCACACAATGGACACCACACTTACTTAACATAAACACATTTATTTGACACAATTTTAAATAATAAACCTTTTTTTTTTGTAGTGTCTTTCCACTCAGTGTCACAAGGAAAATAAAATAAATAAATAAAATCAAATATGTATCCTTTAAGGTCCTTTGACCAAAAGAAAATCAGATACATGAAGTAATGCTATTAATGGAGATTCAACCTCAACAAAGCTAATCATTGCAAGGTTTTTGTTTTAGTGGAAACAAAAACAAGAAGAAAACCTTTTTTCTTTAGTCTTGTGAGCAATCATCAAAAATAAGAAAATCAAAGAAAA